TACGTTTCCTTTCCTTCTCGTCGTACTTGTCGACGACGAACTACTACAACTAGTTGGTACGGACCGTACCTAACCTACGCTGTTTGGTTTTGTTTGTGTCTCCCTCCCTCCTCTCTCTCTCTCTCTCTCTCTCTCTCCCCTTGATGGCGTTCTCATCGATTTTATATTTTTGAAAGAGATTATATACACTACAAGAGGGCTTAAGTATGGTACAAGAAGGATGCAGATGTGAAATCACCAGCTCGGAGACGCAGCCTCAGCCACTTTATCGCATCTAACATGATTGTGACATCTTTATATCAAAAATAAATGATCATATTAGCTTTCCTTTTTGAAACTGTCCATTCTTTAAGAGAATTTTTGCCACCAATTCATGAAGTTGGATAGTTAAGATCAAAGTTTGCTTCTAAATTTTGAAGCACAAACCTCTCATTTAGCAAAACACTAGTGTTCAATTTTCTTCGTGTCTTGCTGTCCTTTTCTTGTATTTCCTTCTCTTCTTTGCATTCAAGTGTGGAAAATCTTTCTAGTTCTCCCCAAACATATACTATTCTATGTTCCTGGGGATATAGGCCATTCAATCTTGATTAGACAACCCTGAGCCACTCCGATAAAAAGTAACACACTCTAATGATAGGGCACTTTTTGTAGGGCACTAAATTTTGAGCTTGAGAAAGATTGTTAGGCAGCTCAAAGCCGTTCCATCAAAGATAGAACAAACAATGTCTCCATCTATACGTAATTAATAATAGTGTGGGGAGATATAAAAGGTTTTCCTGCACACCACATGTTGTTACAAACGAGTCTAACAATGAAAGTTGTATAAGTTATCTTTAGTCATTTTTTCCTTTATTCTGAAAGGTTTTCTTGACGTCAGGCATTCCCAAGAAGTTCTCCTCTACTACCGGACATCTCAAGAGCTATACTAAATGTAACTGAAGGAGATCAAATGTCAAGGATTGAAGCAGCTTGGTTAGGCGCTCAAACAACGTGCTCTGACTCTTCGACCACCTTGTCATCTGAAAGCTTGGATGTCAATAGTTTTCAGGGCCTCTTTCAAATCACTGGATTGGCTTCCACATTGGCTCTCACAATCTCCTTAATCCTATTTGTGTTTGACTATTGTAAAAGACCTCGCAGAGAGAATGTACCCACTCAAAGAAGGCTATTGCATAGAATGGTCTCCATGGTTAGATACTTTGATGAGAAGGTTCCATCACCTCACGTGTTAGAGAGGTAAGAGAAAGAGATAGAGTGGGGGAAATAGAGAGGAAGGGAAAGAGAAATGGAGAGAGAAGAAGAAGAGAGGAAGATGGGGGAGCAGGTGCACCTGTTCTTAGAGGAAACCGAGAAAGTGAGAATAGACTTGTTGAGAATTGAGGAGATTAGGGGAGAATTTGAAGAAGGGGAAGTATTCTATGTTCACACTTGGGTTTCCTATGGTTTGCTGGAGGCTCTCCAACCATCTAATATGAGCAAGGGACTGCAGCGATGTGTCGCTCCTTCTATCAAAGTTCATTAAAAGTAATTGAGGGAGTTTCAGGGGAGGACAAATTCTCCAACTGTCGTTGTTGGCATCCAATGATAGGCATGGTGCGAACAAATTGTAGGAAAATGTGCTTGGATTGCATTCCAACCACCCTTCAAAGAATTGTCCATTTCATGTTAAGAATCTGAATTTATCGTTTTCAAGTGAATAATTATTTGGGCTCATCCAAGGGTTGTGATCTATGCTACCATCAATTAGTATGGTGTTTATTGTCGGACGGAATCACATTTTCTTTTCCTTGGATTTTCCTCTTTGCCTCATGTTGTAATAAGTGAATACATGTAACATGTATAGATACTTTTCCACTTTTTAATCCTACTAAAAAAATAACAAGAAATGATAAAAAATTTCAATCCTAATAAAGATACAGAGTTGATATTTACAATGAGCCCAGTGAATTTTCCTACATGACTTTCACTTTCCCAGGTGACAAAAATGGAGTGGAGGAACAACATACTCAAGGGTCCACTGCTGACATCTGACGGCTAGGATGATGTGAAAGTCATGTAGGAAAATTCGCTTTGTTCATTGAATATGTTTCCTAGAGATAATACATTTAATAGAGCAGTAATGGAATTCTAGTGATGTCAGATTTCTTATCAAAATATAGCTTTTTCTTTCTTTTTTCAAAACATGTCATGTGACATCTTCCAAGATATGGTTTTTTTTGTTTGTTAAACTATGTTTCATAAAATGCTGACTTGAGATTCATCAGAAAAAGATAGTGTTAACTTCTCCTGCCCCAAGTCACATGCAAAGGGAAACATTAATTTTTGTTTGGAAATTTATCAAAAATTGTATGAGAGAAAACCATTTAACTTTTTACTCATGTAGTTTGATTTAATTTCAAAGTACACATAGAAAGACACATGATCATGACTTCGAATTGTTGTAAAAGCGTAAAATGTTTAATAGTGCATCTCCTTAGGTATTTTGATAAATTTCGCTTTTTTTCATACTATCATGTGCAAGGTTTATTTGGAGACTCAAAGAAATGCCTGGATAAGAATGTTTATTAATTTATACATCTACCTTTCAATTTTGAGAACACTCATGGAATATATTAGTCATATAAGTGAAAAACTTTCACACCTGTGGGAGCATATTGTCCATTTACTCTCTTGGACGAAACCTAACCTAGGAATGTTTTTAGGAACTCAAATTTTGGGGACATAATCTCTGAAAGCTAGCAATGAACCTCAACAAAAGAACAAAAAAAAAAAATTGACTCTTGCCCAATATTTAACATTTGGAAGGCATGATCTAAGTGTTGAAAAATTCAAAATCTTTTTTTTTTTTTAATATTCATCTACTGCATCTTCGATGGAACCCAAAATTTCAGATTAGAAAAGTCCTCCAAAGTAAGCTCTTTTACCCGAAGTAGTTAGTGTACATTAAAACATGTTATCTGCTCTTCTCCTATAAAATTCACCAATACAAGCTCCACCATATTAGCAGCCCCCATTTTGCAAGAAGTGCTATGGAGACCTACTCCCGATGGCCATATCAAACCAAATGCAAATGGTGTGGCCAAAGGCACAAAAAAGGTGTTACAGTATCGGATGTATTAGCTGATATGAATGCTTTGGGCCTGCCCTACTAATAAATCCATATTGTAGCAGGCAACCTTTTGGAAAAGATTGGTCAGGCAGCTATCATTTTATGACATTTAAAAGAAATCATTTTTCTTATCAATCACCATTTATACATTTGGATCGATTCTTTTTGAGGAATTTTGATCAACAAAGAATAGCACATCTGTCATTTTCATTATAAAGTTCATCACTGATAAACAAAGAATAGCACATCTGTCATTTTCATTATAAAGTTCATCACACAAACACAAAGAATAGCACATCTGTCATTTTCATTTTAAAGTTCATCGCACACACATGCACACACACACACATTCTAAATATCATGGTTACGCTGTTATCTTCAAAAAGGTAATTATCGGGCAAGTATAATATGATTTATATCGTCATGATAACCTCATGACAAAGAGGTCAATTCCTCATTTCATTATGCGAAACACATTGGACCCAGATGAGGGGAATGGAGACCAGTATACGGCTCAATTAAAATGAGTTCTATATATGTAATTTTTCTCCATCACCGCCCAACCCGTTGATCGGATCCACAAAATCATATTATTTTTCCATAATTATCATATTAGTTTATCGTTTCAAATCCAATATTTCTGGTGATGCCCAGATGAATATCAGTAGCGATCCCCGCCGGTCTGGATATAAATATCAATTTTTTGAACCCCAGGTGCAGCCACATGAAAGAGTGGCAGTTTCAGTTGTATTTTTTAAAGGAAAAGTAATTGGTGAAGGAATGGGAGCTGCACTCATTGCTCCTGATATTGGCCATTACTGTAGTTGTCTCCCTGTTGCAACCAAGGGCAGATGTAGACTTCCTCTATGATCACCCCATCACAAGGGACGGAAGTCTAGTGTGTACCACAGTTAATTTCATAGTTATAATATGGGTGGTCCCAGTAAAACCCTGGCTAGCTTAACCATAAGTACAAAACTAAATAAATATATAAGTTTATATGAGGTTGCAACCTTATACTATTCATGTAAGGTGCACCTCAAAAATCCTATAGAAGATAGTATTCCAGCATTAGAGAACCCTTGAATTAATCATCTCGACATGGAGTTGTATGAACATGAAGGGAAAAAACAAATTTTAAGTCAAGAATATAGTGCATCTTGTAATAAGTTATCAGGATCATCTATTTTTCAAGATTTTCAAGTGCTTATTGATTTGCTCGATCTGTACATTTTTTAAATTTTAAATTTTATAACCATGGATGAAAATAAATTTGCAAGTCATAAGGTTTCTAACTCCGGAATATCACCAAGTAAATTTTAGAGGTGGGCCTTACTTTTATAGTATGAGGAGGCAATCTTATACAAACCTCACCCATAAATAAATGAAGGAAAATGATCATATAAGCCTATAGGACCCAAGTCCCAAATTGAATCATACAGAAATGAACGGCCAAGGGTGCTTGTTAGATATCTTTTTTCCTAAAAAAAAAAAGGAGTATGATGGACCCTATGATTGTCACACATGCATGCCTTGTCTAGGCCACTCCAATTAAAAATAAAAATAAAAATAGATAAGAACCCAAAGTTTCCAGTGAATGGAGGCCATCCAAATGGCCTCATATCTTTCAATCCAGGCCTTCCTACCTATATTGTCCCATCGGCCAGGGCCTCACTGTTTGATAGGCCTATGGGCTCACAGATATTTATCCATAAATAAATATCATTAGCTACTAATATGAAATTCATGTACTAAAGACCCATCCAATTTGATTTAGCTGGACATAAATCCAGGGTCTGACTAAATTCTTGAGAATCGGACCAACACATTAACAAGAAGAGAAAACAGAGTAGAACTAAATATCATGGAAAGATTCCATAATTTCATGCAATCTGTTTATAAAACTAAACTAACAGTCACATTTTAATTTTAGAGCATCAGCCAGAAAGTTCATATTCTTCAGGTGCAAAGGTTGCAGATCGTTATCTGTAGTGCTAATTATTTGCACACATACTCAAACTTTGGCAGAATTAGTTCCTCATTCGAAAATTTATTTCCCCTTTTGTTTTATCTTATATATAACTATTTCGCAATTGGAACTCTAAGCAGTGCACAATGCGAGGAAATGCCCCACTCTTACAATCATTGGACTTATGACCACCTCCCAAGTTATAGATTGAAAAAAAAAAAAAACATTTGGGAAGCTAATTGAAATAGTAGTGGAAACATATAGATCGGCTGGTATATTTGCTAGGCCCTAACTTATATTTGGAATTTTTTTATCTCAGTTCACTCTATCCATAATAATTTGGCATTTCTACCAGAGCAACTTCATTCAACAATCTTCGATAATTTTCGCTAACCTCAATGCCATTCTTTCATGCTTGTACTTTCCTAATGGGAAAAGAAAGAAACAAAAGGGAAAAGGAAAGCCCCAAAATAAGCACAAACAGAACTCTTGAAGATGGTAGAGAGTCAGTAGCCGGGAAAACTGATCACCTCAAATCGATAATGAATGGACCTAAACATGATACACTAAATTCAAAACTTCTTATTTTTTTCTTTTTACAGGATCACCAACAAAAAAGAGCTTATACAGATAAATAGTTTTGAAGGCAATGTTTCAATTTCTGGAATGTGACAGGCTTAGCTACAAAAGAATCCATACCATTGGCAAGGCATTCAGCCACGCTCTCGGCCAATGCATTTGCCGTCATCTGAAATAGCAAGAAACCTAGTTTTAGCCACCATATGATGCCAGCATTGTTTTGTAATTAGTTAGCAGCAAAGGCCGAAACTTGCACTAATTGTCAAATAAATTTCAAAGATTCATAGAGTGTGTGTGTGAGTGCGTGCGTGTGTGTGTGTGTGTGTATATATATATATATATATATAGATATGCTACCAATGAAATAATTACATTAAACATCATTTGAATAAGAAACTACTAGGCATGGAGAAGATCTCTCCAATAGAGTATGGAAAAGAAATCTTTCATAAAGACAGTCTTTTATAAGAAACTCTGCAAGTGAAAGCAACTTCAACAATATGAATCTCTCACTGGAAGAAGTATTTCATGAATACAAAGTTGTAAAGGAAATCTCAATGCATAAAGTTAATTAAGTTGAGGCTGATAACTAATGACCTTATAAAGCTTCAAAGAATGAAAACGGAACTATGAACTGCTAGCTCATGACTAACCTAGCTAAATCATGGATCATATTCTAATTTGACTCAATCTCAAAAGACAAACCCACCCTCCATGTATACTTGAATTCAACAAAAGGACTTTGCTTCTAAGGGTATTTTACACTACATTGTGTAGTTATCGTCGTCAGTGTCAAATGGAAGAGCACAAAGTAACAAGAGAATCTATTACTTGGGCACATTTTTGTGAAAGGTGATTTTTCAGGTTATATTGCATTGCCAAGCAATGGACAACCCTAGACAAAGAAAGATAAACCAACAAATTCCAAATGATGCATAAGCAATGTCCAAAAAGAAGGGAAGAAATGAATTCCAGTCAAAAAAAAAAAAGAAATCTGATGTTTTTGATGCGCACATAAGTGAAAATTTACATTAATAAAAAGTGACAAACTAATAAAAAAAAAACAGAGAAGAAAAAAAAAATGACTTTAAACTATTGTATTGCTTACCGCAATAATGGGAATTCTGTTCCAAGATTCCAATGCCTCTTGAGAACTCGATTGAGAACCAGAGCAGGAGGGTAATCCCTCAACCCCAGCCTCTCTAGCTGCATCCCAGTTACCAGTTTCTTCAAAGGAACGAATCAACTGGGTAGCTTGGAGGCCATCCATTATTGGCATACAAACATCCTGAATGAACCAATAATCATATAAGACTCAAAAAAACATACAAAAATAAAAATAAAAGTAAAAATTGGAAAATAAACATATGGCATATCAATTTCAGGAGTATCTCCATGACACAAGAAATTCTTTAAGGAAACTAATGGTTAGATTTTAGTTTCAAAAATTTACCATCAGAATGAGATCATATCTACATGATTGAACTGCCCGTACTGCTTCAACTCCATTATTGACAATGTCTATTTTATGACCCAGTTGCTTCATCATGGACTGAGTCACCATTATATTGATCTTGTTATCTTCTACAAGGAGTATTTTGGCTTGCGACTGCGCTTTGGATAGCCCTGATGAATCCAGGCTCCTGTTAGCATGCTCCTGACTCTTACATGAAGTCTCACAAGATTGTTTCTTCTCATTCCCATTATCTGGATCTGAACATGACATTTGTCTAGGTTGGGAGCAGTTATCACTTGGATAAGATAATGCATCAAGCTCAGCACTACCGCTTCGGCATCCATTCACCTGGGGACAAACCTGGTCATTTTTCTTCCTTTCCTCTTCTATTATTGACTCATTGTTATCAATATCCATCGGTTCCCTAGGAAACTTAGAGCCTGAGGAATCTATTGTATCAGTTGCCGAGCATGAATTCTTGACTTGAGCACTGTCGTTAGTGGTGTGTATGCTCATGGGAAGTGAATAAGTTTCTTTTGGTAAAGAGCGTTGCATGTTGATTGTATTGTTCAATAGTTTTGCTCTGGCAATGGGCCCACCTGAAGAGAACAGTGTACCCAGCGTTCTTGGCTTAAAGCAAAAGTGGCCAACCTTGGCTTCATCATCATCCATCGTTGCATCATGGTCAAGCATGTCTGATATCTCTTCATCCGTATCATCAGAGTGTACCCTTTTCAAAGGCACTCGACAAGGTAGCTCAAAAGTAAATGTTGAACCATGATGCTCTTGACTACTAACAGTAAGATGTCCACCCATCAGCTCAACCTGTTCCCATTGAAACACAAACTCCAGTGGGTTCACTATAACTTCAGCAGAACCAAACAAAACAGTAACTAAGTATATGACCTAATTTTCTCAAAAGATTTTGGATATTGATATCCACTTGGTATAAACTAGAAAAGACAATTAAACAATTGGCCATTGACATTTTAGTAAGTAGCCAGCAGTATGCAGAAATACATATCAAAAGTATTTTTGCTCTAGAAGTCACTCAGAGAATTGGCATGAGAAAAATTTTAACAGATCTGTGACAGAAAACACTGTGAAATCATAAACCAGAAGTTTGCGTAATTCCAATAGAATGTTTCTACAACTAATTACAGAGTGAGCATGCCTCACCAATTGCTTGCATATTGCAAGGCCGAGCCCAGTCCCACCATATTTTCGTGCATGATCTGCACTAACTTGCATGTACTTTTTAAATAAACTGGGTAACGCCTTCTCTGTTCACATAGGAAACATTTATCTTAGTGCACGGATCAAGCAAAACAAATCTTTTGTTTATATAGGCGTCTACAGGCCACGAAGTCTTCCATGTCAGAAAAATAGGAATGCGGGATTCAATTTTCCTTTCAATACTCATTTCCCCTTTACTTATTGTTAAATTTTTATGATATGTAAATCTTTGGTCCCTCTCATGAACGTCTTTTAGAGTTTATGTTTTGTTTTCTCTTACTTCTTGTTTATTATGTACTTTACATACTACCGATTTACTGAAATTCTTACATATTTTTAGTTTACAAGTACCAAGTGTTTTTATTAATGGACATGCTTTACCAATATCATACACTGAAGATAATGTATTGGGTACATTCATAATATTCCATGACACAAAAACTTTATTGTGTATCAGAGAATTAAAAAACAGTGAGTCTCAGATACTTTCAATGTTGCTCTTTGTTCCATAAATGGGTGCACTGTATATACATGCATATGCAAACACACATATTACAATCCTAATACGCACATGAGCTCCTGTTTGTGTACTCAAACACATGCTTATGTATATCATATAATCAGGACATGCAATGAATGCATCAAGATAAACGGAAAAGTTAACTGGGCTCTCCGAAATACCTGGTATTCCGATGCCAGTGTCATATACATCACACCGAAGCCACACTTTTGTTTCCAAAGAGTCCTCTTTGTCATCATCTAATGAAGCAGATGCTTTTATTCTTGCTGATCCAGGTTGCTCATCAGAAACACCACCTTCAACATAACTGTTACTTGGATATGCAGGAATAGAATCTTCGACTCTGGCTTTTCTCGAGTCCGAAGACTGGGCATCTGAAACGGTCTGGGTACATCTTCCAGAATGCCCACAGTCTGGTTCTGGTATGACGTAAAGGTTTACCCCGACCTTTCCTTCATGGGTGAATTTAACTGCATTGCTGCACATTTTAGTTTACAATAAGTTATAACCAAGTAATTTAAGATTTTAGTAAACATGAGTTCTGCAACATTTAGTGAAAGTTATTTACGTTCCATGGCAAACACACAAATGGTTGTATCAAATGATCATAAACTAAACCCTGGAATCTGGAATAACTAAAAAGAAAGTATGTAGATTGTGATTCTTCACGGGCAACTAAAGCTGAAATAGACATTTACATAGATACTCCCAGGTGTATAGAGGGTTTAGAAAAACATAATCTTTTCATAGATAGTCAAACTTCAAATTCAGGCCCAGTTATTTGGCAGAGTTTTGGCCATACTTCATTTTTAGAAATCAGAATATGGCATTGTAAACAAAGAGAAAGCAATTTGACATTTTCATTCTCAAAATTTTGTCTCGCAGCCTATACATGAATGCTGTCTAAATGGTCCACTCAATTTAAAGTGGCTACACCTTATGGTTCACTCTAGCAAACTTATCGCATATGACATGATTGATGCATATCAGACGCTAAACTATAACTCACACTCGACCTCATCAATTGTAAATTTCTGAATCACATTGTAAATAACATTTGCAGATGTGTTCTCCAAGGCATGGATAATTCTTTCTGATCAACAAGTTTCAATTGTCGCATGAAAATATTCATTTGGTATGTTTAAAACTACAGTTACAAGGCACCAAGATATCAATCAAAAATGGACATATGGGCCAAGTTAATAAATTGTTAAGAGTCAACCGTATTGATTTTGATTCAAGTTCGAAAATTTTTTCTTAAGGTATCAAATAGAGCTTGTTATGAACTTTCGTCGAAGTTGGCTCGACATATATTAACATTTATTATACTACAAAAAAGACTGCACTTTCGATACCTTGAGTCAATAATTCAGGAAAATAGAGAGATTGAGGAAGATGTCGCACATAGAATTAGAGCTGGGTGGGCGAAGTGGAGATATGCAACTAAAATTTTATGTGATCGCCGTATACCAATGGAGCTGAAGGGTAAGTTCTATAGGACAGCTGTGAGACCAACTTTGCTTTATGGAGCAGAATGTTGGGCGAACAAAAAACAATATACCAATAAAATAATTGTAGCGGAGATGAGGATGTTGAGATGGATGAGTGGCAAGACAAGAAGGGATAGAATCTGAAATGAATCCATTCAGGAAAGTTTAGGTGTGGCGCCAATAGGCGATAAGATGAGAGAGAGTAGACTTAGGTGGGCTGACCATGTGTGGCATCGACCCAGTGCAGCACCTGCTAGGAGGTGCAAGTTAGTTTAAGTGGAAGGATTGAAAAAGGCAAGGGTAGGCTCAAAAGGACGTAGTTGGACATAGTCCGAAAAGATATTGGGACTTATAGCTTCATTGAGTGTATAGCCTTAAATAGAGCAAAATGGCGGACCAAGATTCATGTAGCCCACCCCAATTAATTGGAAAAAGCTATGATGATGATGATGTGTCCCCAATTTCTTGACAGAAGGGGTTTACAATATTGGATTTGAGAATGATAACACTTGTTACATTTAATTGACAGAAACTCCTCAATGAATATGCAAAAGCTCAGCTCCACAATGGTATTAGGACAAATTTTTAGAATCTACAATAACAACATACAAAAAGCAAGCGTAACTCAGCTGACATACACATCTTACCTGATCAGGTTGGTTAAAATTTGCCGAATCCTGAGCACATCTCCAATGACCTGACAAAATAGTTTGTGGCATTGGTAAGAATATTTTACACAAAACAACTAAACATTTTGCAGACCACTTAGATGTGCTTCACAAAAGAATCACCTCAGGCCACTTATCCACATAGAAAGACACACTTATCTCAACAGGTTCAGAGGTATCAACCCAGCACTCTCTACCCAGGCATGGCAAATTTTTCACAAAAAGAGAGATGGTTGAATAGACAGCGGTTTTATGCACATGTGAACCAGGATAAAAGGACAGTAGATGGAATTAAATGTACTCAAAAGTGCATTATCTGTAAAGTCACCTCCAAAGGAACATCATCCGTAATGTGTCCTTCCAAGGTCAATTCCTTCTGTAATGATGCTGCAGCAGTCTGGAGTACATGCTTGACCACTTCTCTTGGACGGAACTTTGCAGCTTCCAACTTCATTACCCCTGCAATCATATGGCAGTATTGGGCAGTCAGATATTTTAGCTCATAGTTAATTCACATTGAGCTACAATAACTAAAGAAATATCTAACCCTAATTCTCCTCCACCTAGTCAATGTGGTTGTCATACAACCATCTTGCTTTATTGGAACTAATAATCCAGAGGACACTAGTGGCAATACTTTAAGCACAAAGTAACTCTTATGGGTATTTATTTATTTGAAGAAACTAAGAACCACTACACAGTCACATATTAATTCCAATCCATTAGGTGATAATTGCCAAGAACGGAACACCTCATAAGATGACCAAGGGATGATTTCAAGTAAATATGCACGAAAAAGACCAAATATACAACATGATTGATCTGCAAACATGGATATATATGCATAACATATCTATGTACATATGTATGTAGCTGTGTACACAAGATCATTCTACAATACACTACTAAGTGGTGTTCTACAATGGCTTAAAGATCTCGTCTTATTCAGTTGGCACGAATCCAAAACTTTGAAAGTTACCTCTTCCTGAACTCAATGTTATTTTGGATAAGTGATGAATCTGAAAATTCCCTATGACATAGTAGCAATACATGAAAAGAATATCTCTAGGGACCTCTTCTCATGCAGTTTAAAGAAATTTCTTCCATCATTCTTAGAAAAAATTACCTGATTCGACCTTGGAAAGGTCAAGAATGTCATTTATAAGCTGCAACACCAGATCTCCAGAAGACAGCATGACATCCAACAATTGCCGCTGCTCAGGATCAAGTTTAGAGTTGGCAAGAATCTCAGCCATGCTCACAACCCCAGATAGAGGAGATCTTATCTCATGAGACATGGTTGCCAGCATTTGTTTAGCCCGCATTGTTTCCTCTGCAGGTAAAAATATACATAACTTACCCAAAAAAGGTAAAAAATACATAATATTAAACAGGAGTAGTGGCCAGATAATAAACCTGATTTATTCCAAAAATACAATTCATTTAAACATATCAAAGAGAATGCACACCTGTAATATGTATTGTTTTGTTGAGTTCTGTTTCCTTTGCTTTTTGTACGGCTATCTCTTCCCGTAACTTTGCCATTTTCTCTCTTTTTATAACCTAAGAAGTGACCAATAACATGACCAATATTGAAACAGAAAACATTCAACACCAGGGAAGTAGCTCATAAAATTTAGAAAATTTATCAGAAATTCAACCAGAAAATCCTAAAATTCCCAACTTGTTGAGAAACATGTCTCTACTAAATAAAGGATTAGTCCAAAAGATGTCACAGTAATGGTGAACTTAGACTTTACTACTCCAAAACTTTGACCATGAAAATATTACTTTTGACCATAAATGACTCATGTATTTTAGAAAGAATATTTTATCTTTTCTCTAAAAAATTCAAATTCAAATTTAAAAAGATTCATTTGACTCTTTGGAATGATGATTGGACTTTAAAAACAATCTACAATTACAACTATGCCCTTCTAGAACTTTTCAAGCAAGTTATTGTTGATGCAATTTTCATATTTGTAAGTGCATCTTTTTGTCAAAAATTCCAGAGTAGGAAATTATAAGTTCACCATTAGAGTAGTGCATTCTAGAATAGCACTATATATATTTGGGACACAAGAGCAGCTAAACCTTGCGAATGATAAGCAAAGCATGACTGATATAAGCAACCCAAGAAATATTTTTCACATCAAGACAAAGTATAATTACTTGGTCAGTTATATCCATGCCCATGTAATTCACACCAATTGTATCTCCTGCCTTACTGAATACAGGTTCAACATATATCAAGAATGTCTTTGATCCAAACAACTCTGTTTCAAATGTTATTTCACGTTTTGCTGGCAAGCCACGCTCTAGGACCTCTTTCTTGAAATCCTGAGATTCCTTTACTCCAGCTCCAGTAAATATCTCAACATCAGTTCTCCCAATAATTTCCTGAAAGGAATTGAAGTGTTAATATATATCTCAGTCATACTGAAATCCAGCAAATTGGCACGTTTAGATTGGAACAAAATGTCATAATTCCATATAATGGTTACTCACTCTTATTTCCGTTGTTCAGTACCGTAGTCTAGGTATGTAGTAACTCTAGAAAATATTGTGAAGGAATATCTTTGATACAGTACACCGGACAGATGTTCAAACAAACTAGATTCTACTGGAAAGTGAAGGAAACCTCTCAAGATGTTTTCCTCCTTCTAAATAATGCGAAAAGAGGTGATCTATCACATCCTCTAGAGACTTGCAAATTCATAGGGAATGAAATTATGAATGAGATGCCACTACAAAATACATAAAAAGCAGTTAGTCATGACTACAAGAATGACTAACAAATACAATACCTCCTCTTGAAGAGTTGGGTGAGGATTGTAAATGAACCGATAGCGCAAATCTTTATCCTGACAGACAAGTATAAGCAAGCATTATTGTTGGATATCGCAGTGCATATAGCGCACCACAAACTCACTCAAAAGAGATATACATCTAAGAATAACACTGAGATAATACCTCAGTTCATATACTAAGAAACTAAGAGTAACTGTAATTATATGAAAGTGATAGGATCAAATAAACATTTATCATTAGATCTAAAAAAGATTCAGAAAAGAATGCAATGATGATAGCATGTGTAAAGATAGAGATTCTCTGTAATGTTAAGTTCCAAATCTTGAATTCCCCAATCATCTGAAAATCATGTGTCGCACATGCTTTCTTGATTTCATAATTGCTTCTAATGGTCATGGAAGAGGGGCCTCTATCAAATGACACAGTAATATGGTTGTATGTGACCAACCAAAGGTCAGGATGCATGGGAAATATTACAAAGCCTGCACTGCATGGCACATGTCACACAATCAGCACCCAATTATAAGTTCATTGATGTACCCATTCCATAATTGTGTGACTCCAGGTTCATCTACACCTTCACCTAGGTGTATGACATCATATAAAAAAGAAATAATTCACACAATATAAAGATGACAAAACCGCATATGACGAATGAAGAGACACCTTAACCCAACTCAAAAGGGCACCATAATCGCAGCTTGTGCAACAAATATATATGATGCCAGACAAATTCAGCACTAACGAGAACAAAACCAAAGAAGCCTGTGATATCATGGTCTCATTATTCACTCCAGAAAACTGTCGCACTGAAATGGTTCATGAAAACTACCACATCCCACATTCTTGAAAACTACCCAACATTTGCATAAGTTAATTACAATTGAAATAGGGAACAAAGAGGCCCAACATTGACTAATTGGGCATCTATGTCTGTCCAGTTAAATAACTAATTGCGGACTACCAACATCATTAAGAGAAGAATTAAGAATACAGCCTGTATACCATGATATAATCTGCAGCAAGCAGTCGCCAGAACTTCACAACAGACCCAAAATATACATAATTGTTCAGTCCCGACTCCCGCAGATCAAAGAAAGTTGTAGTCATCAAGATTTTTAAGATGTAGGGTCATGTTTAAAGCATGAGAAACAAACGATGGTCATATAACGTGTACAGATGATAAGTTCCTTGCAGACATGTATTCCATATTCAAAATGATACATGTAGAGAAATGTTTTTCACAAAAATAGATAACCCGAAGAACAGTATTTGTCATCTCAAGAATCAAGATTTACAGTTTGTCAGATCAAGGGCCAAGCTTTAAAGTTGTTAAAACTAAAAAGTATCATCATTTAATAAATAGGGATCATATAATAAAATAAAGATGGGAATCCACATTATGTTGATCTTATGAAGTCATATGTGTACATTCTTGAGCATCTTTCCAATCCAGGCTAATAAACAATGTGGTTCTTACTAAAGTTCCTAAGAAGTTCACATCTCAAATAATCCACTGTGCTTAACAACAATAACGGCCGGCATTTTTGAAATAGTGTAAAGCCAAACTACAATTCCTGCTATATATGTATGACATAAATTACGAGTACACATAACAAAGTAGCATCTGATTACCTGATGTCCGATAACAACAGGTGCATTCTGGAGCACAAAATGCAAAAAGTTATCAGCCCTCTTTAATATCTGAGACAATTCTTCTACAGGGGATGATTGTCTAGCCAGATTCTCTATGTTCTCTTGCAATTTGTCCTGGAGTCTCTGCTCTCTCCTAGTACTTTCCTCCAACAATTTTTCCAACTCCTTGGCTCGTTGCTTCCAATACTTCACAGAGTCATACTCAGAATCTATTTCAAAATTACTGTTCTGGACAACAATTTCATTTCTCCTCCTAGGAATGGTTTCCCAAATATCATAACCCTCATCCAATATCGAAACTGGCCTCTTATCACCAACATATTTGTCTTCTTCAAATCGATGTGCCTCCAAAATCTCCAATTTCTTGAGTTCTACTTCTTGTCTTTGCTTGCTTAAAATGTCAAGCTCCTCTTTAAGAAGGCGAACAGCATTGTTTTGTTTAAACTCCCACTGCTTTACAAGGTAGGCCAATTGGGAGGACCCTCTCTCGCTATAATTCGTCAGCTCTAGTAGGCGTTTGAAATCTACAACAGAGGGATCTTCCACAATTGCAACTTCCTCCAATAATTCTTGACTCGCCCCTGGTATTTCTATATTAAATTGCTTCCCCAATTCATTTCCTAAATCTACAGGCCACATAGAAGGCAGGACTTCTACTTCCATGTCTGACAAGTAATCACCACCCATTTCACAAACCATGGAAAGAACAGTGAATTCACTCAAAATCCTTACATCTCACCCTTCTATAGTCGTGAACTACATAGTAAGAGTAGTCCTCTCAGCCCCGCATACTGTTCTCGTAAGCTCACCTGCTCTTCTATATATTCATGATAGTATGAAGGTTCCATCCAATCGGCGAACAGGTCTTTGAATAAGCTTTTTAAGATTGGATATCTCTTTGCAATCTTGCTCTCAAGACCTGCATAGAAAATCAAAAAATGGAATCTGAGTCACTACAGCGAAAGAACCAACAAATCAATTCCTCCTATATCATAGTTATTCTTTTTGGGGGTGGAAAAGTGATATGTGGACTATCTTATGAAATATTATTTCAAATAATAGTCCCATATATAAAATCTGTGTAAATGAACCAAAGCTAGCAGGAAATGAGAAATATGCACCAGGGAATAATGAAATTGATCATTCCTAGAAGCAGTCATTGCTGCATATTGAAGTCTAAAACCATGATATCCCCATACTCAATACAGATATTACTTGACCCAACTAACCATGCACAACAAAGGTATCATTAAAAAAGAATATAACTAAATGTATAAAATTGAATCTAGTCAGGAATCTATATTCAAAAACTTCAGTGCCTTCTTAATAACATTTTGCAGGCCCGAAGAAATTGGCCCCAAAGAATATTGCCAATTTCTTCAGATATTACTGGAATATCATTGTTTTTCTCATTTGGGAGTACCAATATTAATTATCATACACTAGAGCAAGTAACAACCAATGCCATGAATTATTAGAAAATCTCCACTTATTTCAAAACTTTAACTGGGGAATTCAGTTCCTAGTGCGGAACAGAAAAGATAATAATGGATTGCCTAAAAGAAAAAAAGAGCAAATAGCAGCTTGATTCTTCACCAGTAATCTCAAGAAAATCGACACCAGAAGCTTCTTTCAAAGTTGGCATTTGGTTAGTGCGCATCAATATTAAAAATTGCCCTGCAACCGAAATGTAAAAAATAAAGGCAGCCAAAATGCTGTATAATCCTCAATTGTGTTCAGCACCCATGATATAGATACAAGGATTTGTTGTAGCTGTATACTCACAGGCATTCTAGGCAATTAAAAAACTCTACTAATTAGTTAATCCCGCCAATGTCTGGCCTAGACCTCTTTCTAACTCCTTAGACACTTAAATTTCAAAGAGAAACAAACGTAAATACACAAATCGAGTCGTGTTCTGGCTTCCCAATGTTTCAAAACTAGAGTCAACTATCGTAAATGATCGGGATTTTCACAGTAGATAGAGCTTCTTAATTGCAAAAGGCAGTGAGTACAATCTGGGTTGAAGGATATGTGTTTCTCAAGACTTCTAACGGTCAATTTGAAAGCTTCAGAGATAGTACAGGGAAATCGAGTTGCAACTATGCTTATTTGTCACATTAACGTTGCATTAATTGCTCCTTCATTTTCAATATTCGTTAAAGAAAAGAGGAGAAACAAAATATAGCAAATAAATGAAGAATTTTCCAACTCAAAGGTTGTGTATGTTCCAATTTCGAAAAGAAAAGGAAACGCACCTTCTGAGTGACTTTTTTAATCCAGGGATTCAACGAAAAGTATCCGATTGCTCTGGACTTAGAGCACCAGAAAAGCTTGAACCTTCGACTAAAACTTTCGGCAATGGTCAAAAACTGAAAACTGAAAGACAACTTGGCATATAAAGGCACTCCTCAAATAAGACAGCTTCAAACCAATCGAAAATCCGCAAAACCAAAATTACTTCAGAGAAAACAAAGAGAAAGCACCAGAAATCTCAATATCCTGGCAAAAAAGCGTTTCTCTGTCCTTTTACTGATTTTGAAACCAGGCTCTTAACTCGTGACCTTCAAAAATGGAATTAACAACCGGATATTGATCAGAGAAGGTTCACTTAATGGAGAATGTGGATCCCAGTTGATATAACCTTGTAACCTCCTTAGCCCAATATATCTTCGAAAATTATCAACTCTCAGTAACATCAAATTTTGTGGAAATGAAGCTTTTTCTCCTGTTCTTATTTTGGATCTTTGAAGTATAGAAGCCACAATCCTTACCGAAGACTTCTAGAGGAGGATGCGATGGCCGAAAATTAATCAGAAAACGTTCATTTCAACTGAAGCTTGAGTCTTCAATCGAGACCTTCAAGAATGGAATGAATGCGCAGAAATCTATCAAAAAAAATGCAGTTGACAACAAGCTTCAATATCTATGCTCATCGGACCAGTAGTGAATCACCTGAACCAAATTTATCCACAAAAACTCAAAAACACTGCGGTGAATACGAATCTTTTGCAGAGACGAAGCTTTTCACCCTGTTTCCTCAAGCATCCAAGAACACAGATATTCATAGAGATAAATGAGCATTTCAAGCACCAGAAGTTTGGAATAAGCTTACAGCGGGGAAACGAACTCTTACAAGCACCCGTGACCGAAAAGAAGCTTGAAACAAGCAGATGAGCTCCAGCTTTTGAAGCAGCATTAACAGAGAGAAAGAGCGAGAGAGAGAGAGAGAGAGAGAGCTTAATCAAACTACCTCTGCAAATTCTTTGGAACTGTTAACTTCTGCGGCGATTGACAATTGGAAATGCAATGAATCGTCCAAGTAAGAATGGCTAAAGGCATTGAAACTTTCAGAGCAAAGAAGCCATGTGAGAGAGAGAGAGAGAGAATCAATGGCGTAAACCTCTTCCTAGAGAGAGAAAGGGCTCTACTATCTCTCTAAATTCTTTAGCATTTGTTCATTTTTGTGGCCAATAACCAATGGATTCCTCTGTGCAAGAAAGAGAAAAAGGCCTTCAAATTTTTAGAACCAAGGAGAAGAAGGCATGTGAGAGCGAGAAAAACAAAGGCGTAAACTTCTCTCTCCATGTGCTTTGGGTCAAAATATTCACCATTTTTTTGGAGCTCTTCATGAAACGGCGGATTCCCGTCGCTTGTAAATTCCCGGCGAATGTCCCACGAACTCCGGCTAAACTTCGCCGGGAACAAAGTACCGCAGCCGGAAAACGCGATTTAAAATGGCCCGGACAGGCGTCGAGGTGGCGTCAAATGGAGGGAAAAAGACCGTGACGGTTACTTGACACAAAAAGTGACGCCTTGTAACGTCGTTGACTCACCCAAAAGGCCCAAAACAAAGCGCCTCCTGGTCTTCTTATATGATATGGAAGTCCAAGAGGGGGGGAGAGCCTTAAAAACCTTCCCTTCATCCCTCCCAAGTAAAAGGGATGGTTTGTCGTCCGAGCAAGGGGGATGGGTTGGGTTAGATAAGTGACAACAAAAATTTTGTTAAAATTTTTTATAAATTTAAAAATATTAAAAAGAGTGTATTTTTTATATATTGGTAAGTAACTCACGCAAAGAGAAAGATTGAGGAGAGGTGGTTAGGCGAAGTGAAGATGTGCAACGAGAGTTTTATGTGATCACCACGTACCAATGAAAGCTAAAGAGAAAATTCTATATGACAGTTATAATAAGAGTTTTATTTTATGGGCCAAAATGTTGGACAGTCATAAAACAACATACATATAAAATGAGTGTAGCTGTGATGAAGATATTAAGAAAGATGAGTGACATGACAAAAATTGATAAAATCCTAAATAAATGGATGTTGAGAAGGATGAGTGACAAGACAAAAACGCATAGAATCTGAAATAAATGCATTTAAGAGAATTTAGGTGTGGTACCAATAGATGATAAAATGAGATAAAGTAGACTTAAATAGATTGGCCACATGAGTCACAGACCCAGAGCACCTGTTAAGAGATGCAAGTTAGCTCACGTGAAAGGTTCGTTAAAGGTAAGAGTAGGCTTAAAAAGACATAGTTGGAAGCTGTCAAAAAATATAATGACTTATGACCTTACCGAAGGTATGACCTTAAATAAAGTAGAATTGTATATTATGATTCATACAGCCGACCCCATTTAATTGAGAGAAGACGTTGAAGATGATGATGACCCTTTCTAATATGGCCACCACGTATTTTTAGTAGTACACCGGTTGGCTTTATTCACTCAACAAGAGAAAAGAGTCCGGACACGGCGGGCCAAAATCAAGTCAAGAAAACGGTATTGGAATTAGCAAGACCCTAACGGTAATGGTTAATTATAAAGGAAGTTGAGGGATAAAGAACATAAGAAAATGGAAGAAAGAAGGATAATTGGAAAATTAACTTTTTACTATAAAATTTTAAAAAAAATAGTTTATATAAGTTGTCACTTTTGCACTACAACAATAAAGCACACCTCAAAAATCCATCAAAAAAAATTTTGGGACGTTGGTAGACCCTCAAATTGATCATCTTAACTTCGAGATATCTAGATAAATAAATAAAAAATGATTTCAAGTTTTAAAAATAATGTACCTCGTAACAAATTATCTAGATTTTAAAAAATTTTAAGATTTTCAAGTGTTTATGGATCTGGTCTACTTATACCATTTTTTAAGGTTAAAATAGATTTTCTTAGGTTTTCGTAACTACAATTTTTGGGAGGATTTGAAGATTTAACTTACTTTGATTGTTTAGGGTTAACCCTTATCTATAGCATATCATTTCTTTAATTAAAAGGGCAAGCTTACTATGCTTCCCCTACATAATAAAACTTATATACTTCCTCTTATCCAACCCTCCATTCTGAATGGCGGGCTAAGATTACCCCAATCACAATGTCACATTTCTACATTATTTTATTTTAAATTTTTTTTCTATAAACTATTTTGACACCAAATTTTGGACATCCAATCCTCTATTAAACTTGCACTAGAGAAAAATATATATATATAAAAAAAAAAAAAAAGTTTTCAATAAAATAAAATGATGAAAATAACCTTGAAAGATTTAAGGGGTATTTTGGTCATTATATTTTATAAAAAATTTAGTTTAAATATTTTTTATAAGTGCGCCCCAATGAGAAGATGCAACGTACTAAATTTCATATTTATATAAGTTAAATAAAAAAAATTAAAAATAAAATACTTTCAAACGTCGGATCTAAGATTAAATGGTGAGTGGTTCTCTTGATCAAAATTGGACAGCTAGATGGTAGGGGAAGCATAGATCTTTTATGATGTATGGGAAGTATAGAAACCTTTTCCAATTAAAAACGCCCTTAGTTTCTCACTTTGAATCTAACACCCATTGTTTTAATGTTAGAAACTGAATATATTACAATGGCCCTTATTTTGCAGTAACACATTTTTTTCAAGGGATTGTATATTATGACATTATTTACTTTCGTTACAAGAAAGTCACAAATACCTCTAGCCATCCAATTTCAAATTGGATAACTTACGTGTGTCACCAAGTTTGAAAAATATTTCCTTTTAATTTTGAACCTAGTTAATAACACATGCATAACCACCGGCTTTTAAATCCGACGGATAAGAATGACTGTGACCTCCCTATACTTAAAAGTAAAAAGCCTCTTCTTATACTTTTACTTTTAGTTGATGTGCATTGCTCTCAAATCACGTAACAAGCGGATACGTCATTGTGAGGATGATGAGTATTTCCACACATCGGGCTCATGTGCCAAATAAAAAGATGGGCACGAGCAAGCTCAATTTTTTTCACGTTTCTTTGTTTTGGTTTTTGTCTCAAAAATGCTTATATATTATAGGACCGGCAAGAAGCCGGGCCATGCCAGGCCCATGCCCAAACCCAACCCCGGCCTTATCAAGGCAGAACAATGCCGGGCAAGGCTAAATATAGTCAAAGAAAAAAAATTAAAAAAGAAAAAGAAAAAACAACAGTTAGGATGGGTAGCTCAGTTGTGGCCTTGACCTAGACATGGCCCAGCCCAGTCCTCAGTTCTAATTTTTTAGTGTCGGGCTGGCCACATCCCCACTCATATAATGAGATCAGATCACAATCATAGCCATCAAATGTGAAATTTTTAACAGCGTGGGATGCGTCAAAAAGTTCGAAAATGTCCTCAGGGACTTTGAGCTCAATTAATGATATACTTCAAGTCACCAACCTCACATCCAATAGCCAAGGATGATTATAACTTGCTCGTTCAAAAAGTAAAATGATCGTATTGTATCCTTTTCCTTGCTTTTACCGACAAATTAGATCGATGGTACCCGAGAGGATATCTTATCCATCATCGGAACCTAAAATCAACTCACCTCCATCATCAACCATAACCATCAGGGTGAATAGTAAGTTCATAAGTGGTGTACCATATTTGCTTCAAGTCTTGAACTCACATTTGGTTCATGTGAAAATATTTCCTGGGATATATTTTCATATGAAAAAATGTGTTCATGTGTTTAGATATGGGAATATTTTTATTCCAATTAACTACCAATTGATGTGAAATGACACATTGCGACCAAATGATGTGAAAATATTTTCATACCTAACTGCATGAGACGTAAAAATATTTTTACGAGAACTAAACGTGCCCGAAATCTTCTTTGGAACCCTAATACTTAATATTCTAGTAGATTTTTAATTAAACAAAAAAAAGGTTATATTATACAGTTTAGCAAATGTTCAAGAGCAACTTTTCTTACTGGCTTGAGAAAAATGTCTTTCTTCGAGCACTATTAAGTATTACAAAAAATAAGTGTTAATCACTATTTAATATACTTATTTAAGCGTAATATACAAAGAAACTAATCCTTTTCTTTCTCACGTTGAGTCAGCATATTTGTTTTTAAATTTAAATAAGTCTCCAAGAAAAACGTGCATGCACCAATGCATAGGTTCACCATTTTTGCTTCTTGTTTTACGAGCCATGCATCACACTTTCACAAGATTAAACCAAATATCAAGATAAAAACACATTTAATTATGTAATTTACGTAGTTCTATACTTAAACGTGTATGTAATTTACGTAGTTCTATACTTAAACGTGTCTTCAAGATCTTAGCTTCCCGTTAAAATCAAATTAAATAATAATAATAATAATAATAATAGTAATTTACGTAGTTCTATACTTAAACGTGTCTTCAAGATCTTAGCTTCCCGTTAAAATCAAATTAAATAATAATAATAATAATAATAATAGTAGTAGTAGTAGCAGTGCTAATACTAAAATTAATTCTAATAGTAATTGTATTAGTAATAATAAACAGCCTCACATTGCATAGGTTGAGTGCATGTGCCTAATGAGTAGTAATTTGGGGTTATCCTCGAGTAATTTGGGGTAATAATAATAGTAACCAAAGGTTTCTATACTTATGTTATTTTTAGTTTTTATTCTATAAATTACATGAATATGAAATTTAGTATATGTCATCATCTCGGCCATACTAAAAAAACATATAAAAAAGGGAAAAGTTTATATAGAGCCGAGGCTCTAAACAATCACATTTGAGCCTACCTCAAAAATTTTGCTAGATGAGATTGTTTTGATGCCCAAAAGTCTTCAAATTGATCATCTCGACATAAGATGCATGGACATGAGAAAAAAAATTGATTTTAAGTTTTAGAAATAATGTATTTTGTAACGCATTTTTTAATCTTCAATTTTCAAGATTTTCAAGTTTTCATAGATCTATCGATCTACACTATTTTTGAAGCTTTAAACTTTATAAATAAAGATGAAAATGTATTTTAAGGCTATTACAAAGACTTCTAATGTTGAAACCACATTTTCGACACTTTTTAAAAGTAGGCTCCAATTTGATTGTTTAGAGCCTAGGCTCTATACAAACTGCACCCTATAAAAAATATTTCTAATAAAATAAAATGGCCAAAATACTTTTAAAACTTTCAAAGGTATTTTGATCTTTTTTATTGAAAATATTTTTTTATATTTTTAGCAAGTACGAATTTAAGAGAGGAATTGGACACTAAAATTTTTGTGTCAAAATATTTTGTGAAAAAAACTAAAAATAAAATAGCATAAAGGCGTGACATTGCCATTGGATCCATCTCAGTCATTCATTAAGATATGATGTCTAGATAAGGGGAAGTATATATACATCATGGGAGTACAAAAAGTTTGCCTCGAGAAAATGGTGTTTAGAGAAACTTAAAAGGAATTACTCATGGTGTTTTTGAATGGTTGAGTTCGTTGATGAAAAGAGGCTGGGTCGTGGTGGTAGCTTCCCCATACCCAGTAACATCCTCAATTAACTCCCCAATCTATGGAAAAAAACAGGT